ATCCATCTATCAAAATTTCTTATTTCTATTGAGAGTACCAACATTCTTCTAGTCTCCCAGTTTCATAACTTCAACATTATCAATCAATCAACATTTATTAATGTTAAGGCACTGTACTAACTACTAGGGATACAAAAAGAAGCAAAAAACATCCCTGTTCCCAAAGAGCTTACAATTTAATGGGAGAAACAACTTGTAAACAAATATATGCAATGCAAATTATATAAAAGATAAATTGGAAATAATTAATAGAGGGAAGGCACTGAAATTAAGAGGGGTTGAGGAAGGCTTCCTATAGAAGGTGGGATTTTAGTTGGAACTTAAAGGAAGCCAGAGAGGTCAGTAATCAGGACAGAGTGAAAAAAAGCTCTTTCTAGGAATGGGGGACATCCAGAGAAAATTCCCAGAGCCAAGAAATAGAGTGTCTTATTTGCGGAACACTCAGGAGATTAGTGTCACTGGATTGAAGAGTACATGGATGGAAGAAAGGTGTTAAGAAGTTTGGAAAGGGATAAAGGGGCTAGGTCATGAAGGACTTTTAATGCCAAACAGAGTATTTTGTATTTGATCATAGAGGTAATAGCAAAGAGTTTATTGAGTAGGGAGGTGACAGGGTCAGAGTTGTGCTTTAGGAAAATCACTTTGGCAACTGAATGAAGGATGGATTGGAGTAGAGAAAGACTTGTGATACACAGATCCACCAGCTGCCAACTGCAATAATCAAGCTATGATATTTATAGCAGCTCTTTTTGTGGTAGAAAAGAATTAGAAATTGAAGGGTTGTCCATCAATTGGGGAATGAGTGAACAAGCTGTGATATATGATTGTAATGTGCTATAGGAAATGATGATGAATTTCAGAAAAATTTGGAAAGACTTATGAACTGATGCAAAGTGAAGTGAGCAGAAGCAGGAGAACCTTATACACAGTAATAGCAATATTGTATGACAAGCAACTGTGAATAATTTAGCTCTTCTCAGCAGTACAATGATAGTAAACAATTTCAAAGGACTCATGATGAAAAATGCTATTCACCTCCAAAGAAGAACTGATAGAGTCTAAATATAGACCGAAACATAGTATTTTTCACTTTCTTTATTTTTTGTGGTTTTTTTTGCTTTGTGTTTTCTTTTACAACATGATGAATATGGAAATATGCTTCTCATGATTACACATGTATAACATATCAAATTGCTTACCATTTCAGGGAGGAAGGAAGGACAGGAGAGAATTTGGAATGGAATTTTTTTTAAATGAATGTTTAAAATTGGGGGTTTTTTTTACAAATAATTGGGGGAAATAAAATATTATTCAAAAAATCAGTGAAAATAAAAAGTAATCTGATAAAAAGTGTCTGGCAGAATGAGGGGCAGTGAGGAATGAAGGAGAAAATTTGGGTGATATAAAAATAATATATATCAATAAAATTTACTTTTTAAAAACAGTAAAAAAAAAAAAAGCAAGGCATGACATAATGAGGACCTACAATAGAGTTGTGTCAGTGTCAGAAGAGAAAAAGGACATATAGGAAAGTGATACAAAGATGAAATTGACAGGGATCAGCAACATTTTGCTATGGGAATGAGAGATAGTGAGGAATCCAGGATGACTCCTAGGTTGTGAGCCTGAGGGATAGGAGGATGGTGTTGCCCTCTTCAGTAAAGGGGAAGAGAAGAGAGAGGAGGGTTTAAGGGGAAAGATAATGAGTTCCATTTTGGACATATAGAATTTAAGATGTCTGTTGGACATCCAGTTCAAGATACCTAAAAGGCAGTTGGAGAAACAAGATTGGAGGTCATCAGAGAGTTTCGGGTAGGATAGTTAGATTTGAGAATCATCATTCTCAGATGATGATAATTAAATCCATGGGAACTGATAAGATCACCAAGTGAAGTAGTATAAAGAGAAATGAGAAGAAGGTCAAGGATAGAGCCCTGAGGGACACCCATGGTTAGAGGTCATGGTCTGGAAGATGGTCCAGCAAAAGAAAGAGAGGAGTGGTCATATAGATAGAAGAAGAACCATAAGAGAGTGATGTCCCAAAAACCTAGAAAGAATAGAGTATCAAAGAGTGGTCAACAATATAAAAAGCTGCATAGAAGTCAAGGAAAATGAAGATTGAGAAGAGGTCATTGGAATTGGCAACTAAGAGATCATTAGTAACTTTGGAAAGAGTAATTTTGTGGAATAAAGGTGGAAGATAAATTATAAGTGATTAACAAGAGAGTGAGAGGAAAGTAGAGGCGCTTATTGTAAATAGCCTTTTAGAGGAGTTTAGTTACAAAAGGCAGAAGAGATAAAGGACAATAGGGGATAGAAGGATCAAGTAAGGGTTTTTTTTTTAGGATGGGGTAGAAATGGACATGTTTGTAGGAAGTAGTAAATGAGCCAATAGAGAGGGAGAGATTGAAAATAAGTGAAATAGGAGGCTATCTGTTAGAGGAGATGGGAAAGAATGGGATCCCTTGAACAAGTAGAAGATTGGCCCTAGTAAGGAGGAAAGCCACTTCATCACATGAAACAGGGTGAGGGAGGAAAAAGTTGTAGAAGGCACCCAAGTGATAGGGGATAAGGAAACAGAGAGAAGAGGGAGTTCACAACAAATGATCTTAGTTTTTTTTCTGTAAAATATGAAGCAAGTTTCCCAGCTGAGAGAGTGGAGATGAAAAGTTTTGGAAGATCCACTGTGAATAGTGGGATAATGAGTTGATAAGGGATATACGGGAGGATTGCCTAGGAGCAGCAAGAGCCCAGTTGAGGTTGGATAACATAAATTTGTACTGGACCCAGTCAAAATGGTGTCATGATCTTCTCAGCATGTATATAGGAGCAGAGGAGATGAATGATGGAAGTGACCCAAGTCTGAGGCTTAACTGGGTTGGATTGGTGATATAAGGAGCTGGGGATCCATGAAAGAAAGATAGTGTAGAATTGAATTGGCTCACCAAAGGGTTCAAGAAAGGAAGAAGAAGAAGGAGTGACTAAAGTAGGGAAGATGGCCTGGGAGAGAATTGAGGGGTCAAGGGATCAGAGGTTATGGTGCGGAAGAAGAATAGAGTTTTGAAAAGAAGGCAGAGTAAGAGTTGAAAAGCCAATAGATTATGGTAAGATAAGAAGACATCAGAATTCTTGAGCAGGGAGGTGATACATTTGTGGGTAATGGTACGACCAAAGGTATGAACATTTTTGTGTATAGTTGAAACGGTGGGGAAGAGTAGCTCAAGAGAGGTGAGTATACTGAGAAACTGAGTGGTTAGAGTATTTGAGGGAGAATCAATATGTATGTTAAAGTCCTCTAGTATTAGTACAGAAGTTGGGAAGGAAATAAAAATTGTGAGCCAGGTGTCAAACTGAGGAAAGAAAAAGAGTGATTTCTGTAGACAATAGCTATCAAGATTTTGATTGGAGTGGTAGATATAAATCACATGGTCCTCAAAAGAAGGAGGGTTACTAAGGGATAGAAGAAGGGGGAAAAACTGGAAGTGGCAATGAGGAGCAAGGAATTCCTATTCTCCCACCCCAACCAGTGAGCTAAGAAGAATGAGTAAAAGTACAGTCAATCCTGGACAGGATGGCCAGGGAGGCTATGTCATCGGGGGGAGCCAGATTTCAGCAATAACTAGTAGATGAAAGGAGTGGGAGAAAAAAGGATTTAAGATGAAGGGAAACTTATTGCCTATGGAATTTCAGAGGAAGCAGTGGAAGGGCTGGATGGAGTTAGGTTGAAACTTTGGAGTAGGAAGGTTTAAGGGGATAGAAATGAGGAATTGGATGGTATGGGGTGTTGGTGTGAAATTTAGATGATAATCTACAGGAGTTCAGAGTCACTGGGATGTGAAGGTTATGATCAGGTATAAGAATGTTCATCGAGTGGAAGACATCATGCCTTTAACCTCAAAGGATAAGTGAATCATGATATAAGAGGCTTGAAGTCAAAAGGAGAGTTGCCCTTCTTTGCAACATCCCAGTTGGGAGATTAGGCTGGTAACAGAAGGTGGAAGTTGTCTTGTGCTGGCATAAATGGAAGTGGTTACTTTGAGGCAAGTAGAAGACTCCTGGCCCAGTCCCTAGCAGCCTTTCCTTGAGGGGACATGCTGCACCTGTCAGGAAATGGAAGTCACAAGGTGCTGGCACACTGGTCACTTGAGGAGTCTGGCTATGAGGCAGCAGCAGAAAGTGGTATACTCTCTAAAAGGTGCCTGGCCTGGCTCCTAGCAACCTTTCATCAAGGGATATCCCTCACTGCTCTCACCTCACATGATCCAATTAGTTGCCAAATCTTGCTATGTTTATTACCACAACACTTCTCCCATAATCCTCTCCTTTCCATTAAGAAGGGCCACCACCATGTTCTTTTTATCTTTATCTCACCTAAATTTTTCACTAGTTGAACTCAGTAGTTCAACTCACAGTTGTCTTCTAATTGGTCTCCCTACCCCTCTCTTCCCATTCTAATGTATTCACCATAAAGCTTCTGAAAAGGTTTTCTTGAAGTATGGATCAGGCTTTGTTACTGCCCTACTCAATAAATTGCAATGGCTCCCTATTGCCTCTAGGCTAAAACAAAAACTCTTCATAAAAAGGACTTTTACTGTCATTTACAACAGTTCCCTATAATAGCATAATGCTCTTATCAAATTTTAATGTGGAAGAACACAGATTAGTGGATAAATTTACATTTGCTGTATGTAAGCCATGTCTTCTTCTTTTCTCCCTCTGCCTCCTATAAAAATGGCATGCGGGGAAGAAAAATTTGATAAATCACATTTAGCTTTTAAGGTATCTACTAATCCTATCCAGTGTTATGAAACAGTCCCATTGTAATTGTATAGATGGTAATCTTTTGCACAGTTGGCAACCAGAAATTTATTGTTGTATATTGTAATTCACTGTCGCATTAGGGTGATAAATAAGAACCAAGTCCATTTTTGAAGCCAGTGAATTTCATGAAATGTCACCATTTTCAGTTACTAAGGGTCTTTCTTTTTTTCCTGGCTCAGGTGCTGTCTTATCATGCAACATGTTCAAAAGCCGAAGTTGACAAATTTAAGGTAAGGAATTTAAGGGTAGATAAAACCCCAAACTTAAGCGTAGCCAATCCATGCTCCCTTCCCCACTTACTCCCATACTTATCCCTTTCTTTGTGGTGATACATCTCTCTGATATTAACCTTAGATATTCAGTGTTGAAGAGAATTTTGAGAGAGGCAAGAAGGGCCATCTTGCAATTGGAAGAAACGCATGCATAAAATACAGTAGGCTTTTTTACAAGGCTACTTAATAGACTTTTTAATGTGATTCAACCCTAGTCTGTTCCCCTTGGGAAGGGGAAGTAGTTATTCAATGAATTAGTTAACAAGGATTTTGAAGTGTCAGGAACTGTGCTGGGGAGAGAACAAACAGCAAAAGCTTAACAGTCTCTGATCTAGAGACTGGTGGAAACAATTGATAAAAGCATAGATAAAGATATGTAGATATAGCTATACATAATATGTGTATATGTATTTTTATGTTTATATGTCTATATGTATACCTATATTTACATTTATCATTACATACATATATGCATATATTTATATTTATATACACCTGTATTTATATATACATACATACACATAAGTAGAAACAAAGTATATAGAAAGTAACTTGACCTTTCTGCCGGCTCTGCCATATTCCTGTGAGTTGCCAAAATGATGAACACAAAAAGAAAAAGGAGAGGGACACGATACATGTTTTCTAGACCCTTTCAAAAACATAGTGTTGTCGCTCTGGCTACATAAATGCAAATATACAAGAAAGGTGATGTTGTAGATATCAAGGGTACAGGCATAGTTCAGCAAGGAATGCCCCACAAATGTTACCATAGCAAGACTGGATGGGTCTGTAAAGTTACTCAACATGCTATAGGCACTGTTGTAAACAAACAGATTAAGGGCAAGACTCTAGCCAAGAGAATTAATGTGCGTATTGAGCATATTAAGCATTCTAAAAGCAGAGACGGCTTCCTGAAGTGAGTAAAGGAAAATGATCAGAAGAAGGAAGCCAAAGAAAAAGGCACTTGGGTTCAACTGAGATGCCAGCCTGCTCTACCCAGAGAGGCACACTTTGTGAGAACTAGTGGTGAAGAACCTGAGCTGTTGGAACCGATCCCCTACGAATTCATGGCATAAATGGCTGTAAAGTAAAACTGATAACAAATTCTTGGGTTAAAAAAAAAAGTAACTTGAAGGAAATTTAAGAGGCAGCTAGATGGTGAAGTGGATAGAGTGCTAGGCTTAGAGTCAGGAAGACCTGAGTTCAAATCTAGCCTCAGACACTTATTAGCTGTATGACCCTGGGCAAGTCACTTAACTCTGTTTACCTTAATCCACTGAAGAAAGAAATGGCAAACCACTCCAGTATCTTTGCCAAGAAAATTCCATGGCCAGCATGGTCCACTGGATCACAAAGAGTCAAACACAACTGAACAACAAAGAAGGAAATTTAGGAGACTGGGAAACACTAGTATCTAAGCAAGGATCAGTAAACATGTTGTGTCAGAGATAGCCTTGAGCCCTCGGGAGGGACAAAATTTACTGACTGAAAAAACCAGGGCTTGGAAAGACCAATATTCAGGGTAAAGCAGTAAATATAATCTTTTGATTGGCAAGAAGAGAAAAAAGGGTAAGAATTAGTGGAGTAAAACAGAGGTCATACTTCCACTAACCATAACTATTTGAATCATACCTGACATCCTAAAAGTAAGGAGAAAAAGAGCTGAACCCCAAATAACTGTCTGTAAGCCATTGAGCTTCAAGCTAAAAGAGGCGAAATCACTTTCCCACCCTCACCCAAGCAATTACTTCCAGTATGTAGAAGAGCAGCAACCAAAACTATAACAATAGCAGAGAGGAGACAGAAAATCCGTAGGAGAACAGGAGATTTGAGATTTTCAGAGTTAGGTGTAAACATCCCAATATACCCTTAGATTTTGTTCAGTCATTGTTCGGTCCTATCTGACTCTTTGTGACTCCATCTGGGATTTTCTTGGCAAAGATACTGGAGTGGTTTGCCATTTCCTTCTGCCGCTAATTTTACAGATGAGGCAACTGAGGCAAATAGGATTAAGTGACTTGCCCAGAATCACATGGCTGTTAAGTATTTGAAGCTGGATTTGAACTCGTCTTTGTGACTCTAGGCCCAGCACTCTATCCACTGCACCACCTAGCTGCCCACATGCCCTAGAAAATGCCTCCTAAGGGCATCACTATATTATAACCCAGTAGAAATGTTGTTCACAATAATGACCCTAAGTCTTAGAATCTCACTATTTTCCCTCAAATGATTCTCAGCCTACTCATCCAAATGCTAAGACACTACCTGAATTACTTTGTGTTTACTTCATATATATTTTATATTTATTTATGTGTGTATGTGTTGTATCCTTCAATAGAAGGTAAGTTCCATGAGGGCCAAGACTGTTTAATTTTTGTTTGTGCCTAGCATAATTCCTAAGACATAATAGGTGCTTAATTGTTTATAGAACTAATCAGCTAATTACTTAAGAAACTGTCGACTATGTACACTCTTTTGGAATGAATATACTATATTAAAAAATTATTTGTATGCAAAATAATTAACATAAAAAGAAAACTTTGGCATTTTTCTTTCTTTTTTTTTTTTTGGTAAGGCAGTTGGGGTTCAGTGACCTGCCCAGAGTCACACAGCTAGTGAGTGTTATGTGTCTGAGGCCGGATTTGAACTCAGGTCCTCCTGACTCCAGGGCTGGTGCTCTACCCATTGCATTACCTAGCTGCCCCCAACTTTGGCATTTTTCAAGACAAAAAATTCATTCACTTCTGTGGAATATCTCACTCCCCATGACACCAGAAAATTGAGGTGTTATGATTTTATCAATAATAATAAATACAATAGAAAGAAGACAGAAGGAAGATGGTAATGCTGAGGAAGGACTAATGAGATATTTTGTGGGACATGTCAGGAGGTTGAGGAAGTCACAGTACACAGATATCTGGTCTACAGCAAAATATTGTCTTTTATGCTTTGGTTTACATCCCTTGTAGGATTTGCCAGTTTTTTCTACTATTTAATTTTATCTCCTCAAATATGAGATATTTAAATTTTAGAGTAATAGGTTATTTCTTTTTAAGATTATTAAGATTATTAACTTACCTAATTTATACCAGACATTATTCTGAAAGAAGAGAACTAGTATCTTATAATAATACAATTGAGATATAGTGAATAATTATAATCTAACAATTTTTTCTTGATGTAGAAAGTAAATAAAATACTCTTATAATTGTTAGTTGATACGTGTTATAACTGTAGCAATAAGACCAAAACACATATGGCCTTAAAAACAATATTGATCAGGGAGAGTCAGAAGCATCATTCTCTGCCTGGGCATTCACAAGAGTAGTTCCAGAGTATTGTTAATGAATTACAGTAAATAAATGCTTTGATTTGACCATCTATATGTAGAAGATTTATGCCAACACTAATGCACATTGGTTTCTTTTTTCAACTAGAGAATATGCAGAATGTTTTATGGTAATGAGAGTCAGTGTAGTAAAGTAGATGGAGTGTTGGAATTAGTGTCTGGAGACCTGGGTCAGAATGCTAGCCCAAGCACTTAATAGCCCTGTGATCTTGGCAGGCTAGTCACCCTCTCATAACCTCAGTTTCTTCATTCTTAAAATAGGAATAATAATATTTGTATAGGTGTGATGAAGAGGAACCTTTTAACAGTTTCCTGAATCTTTCTTTAATAAGGTAGAATTCCATTGATAAAGTTTACTTCTCATTAAAAAGGTTAAAACAGGATCATTTTTTTTCTGGCCTTTATGATGTTTTACTGATAAGACATAAACTTGTCTTGCCTTGGGGCAGGGCAGTTTACCTTTGGATTTGAACTTTGAAAGGTGGGAGCTAGACAGGCACTCAACAAGGTAGGCATGAAGAACCAGAGCTAAGATAGCCAGCAAAAAAGTGGTCTGACACCAACAGGTTGTGATGCTCTGGAGGGAAGCTTTGGCTGTCCTATGACAGTTTTCACAGTTTCTAACCTGAAGGCTCTAGAAATGATAGAAGAAGGGGTTAGCTAGGTGGTTCAGTGGATAGAGCACCATCCATGAACTCAGGAGGGCTTGCGTTCAAATCCAGCCTCAGACACTTACTAGCTGTATGATCCCAATTGCCTCACAATCCTGAGCAATGAAAAAAAAAATCCTGGACCAGATAGAAGCTAAAGCTAAGAAATGGTCAAGGACAGAACCGTGATGTCTCGGAGCAAATCCGGACTTTGCTTCATTTGTTCAGTGAGTTATATGGACTGTGAAGGTCCAGGGAAAAGACTTGACTCTCTAGTGACTCCAAGTGCTTCCTTCTCTCAAGGGGAGTCCTCAGTCTCAAGGTAGTCCTATACATTTCAAGGATTGTATCAGTCCCTCAGGGAGGTGGAATTCATCTGATGACTTTATTGCTACCCCAGATACTTTCCCTTTGATGGGAGAGATAGAATGTGTAGCTCAATTCTGGAGAAATATTATAAGTCTGGAGGATTGTATTATAATATTAGTTCCCTGACAGAGGACGGGCCAAACATAAAGGGAAGGAGAAGTGTCAAGATGAGTGGTGTCAAACTCTAATAGAAATCGGAGGCCACCAAACCACACATAAGGATACCTATGAGACACACATACTGACTTAGAGAACCAGATACTAACATTATCTAAGTTCTACTGTATTTTTATTTATTTTGTTAAATACTTTCCAATTACATTTTAATCTGGTTCCCATACTTGGGAGTACTGGCGTCTACCAATGGTTGAGCTTCTTATCTAGGTGATTTATGGACTTGAGTGTAAATCCATTGTATTTTACATTTCTTGTTGGATTAAGTAAAGTTTGTCTTATATTTGATCTATTGTTGGCCTGAATTTTTGCATGGAACTAAAGGCCCCTTTCACTTTTTATTTTTTTTATATATTAACCCAGAAACAAGGCGATTTCTCATCTTCTCAGGGAAACCCTAGCCAGAGGTGTAAATC